GATTTCGTGTCAGTTTTTTGTTTTGTTTGCAATTTTATATTTTCCCCCGTCATTCGTTCATTCATGCCATTAAATATATACGATTGGGGGATGGGGGAGAAATATTGCTACTACCACTTCTGATGCGATATTTATGTGGGTGTATATGTATGTATTTTTTGTACATATGTTTGAATGTAATATCTTCGAGTGACTACCATCGACTGGCAGTTGAACTGACATTGTAACTGTCAATATGTGAGGTGTCGTCACAAGTAATATTGCCAATTGTTTCGGTAGTTGCGCTGTTGTTGGCGTTGCTGCTATTGTACAATTGTCATTGGGCGGGTATTCTTGTTATTTTTGTTGGAATTAAATGTTACTGCGAAATATGTATAGAAAGGAAATGTTACATGCATACTGTTCAGGCCAATAGCAATATAAGGGCCTTTAATCCAACCTAAAATAAATTCAGTTCTGCTTCATGACAAAAAATTCTTAAAAGCATATATTTAGAATTTCTAGAACAAGATTTTTATATATGTATTTTTGGGGCGTAATTAGTATCTACAATGGAGACTTTATGTTTAGATAGATCCACTTATAGTAAAAAATGAGTAAACATCTATTAAACATATAATTTTTTTTAAGTAAATATAATTTTCATAATACGGGTATACATTTTTAATCCCAATATTGTTTTCAAAATTCAAGGAATGGAATTCGACGAACCACATATTTAGGAATTCGTATATATGTATTCATATATAGAGGCAATAATATTTATCTTCCACAAAAGGTCCCCTCCTGTATCTATTTATTTATCCCCACAATTTCCGACAGTTGTCCATCAACACACTCACCCACCGTCGCTATAGGACCACGTTACAACGAGTCGCATAAATTATTCGTTGGCAAAGTCATTATTTTGCAAATTACTTGTGTTTTTATACATTAACCATTGAGCCACATTATAGTCACATATTTCCGAACTCACAAAATCGCACGCAATGACACACATGTGCATAAATTCGTGTGGTAAATATGCGCGTCTTCGTTTTTATTGATCGACATTGGGGTGTGTTCCAAATCAATTCAAATAAAAATATGTATAAATAGTTTTAAAATACATTTGAGGCTCCATTTAATTGATAAAAATGGATCCATGAATAGTAATTGCTCCTAGAAAGGCATATACTTAGATATAAATTGGGGAACATAGTGTATTCAGAAACGTTTAAATCTGATTATAATAAATTAATTCAAAAAATGAATGGCTCTTCCTTTGATTGGATTTAAATAATAATGCAACCATTCTTGAGAATGTAGAACATTAAACATTGTGGACAGAGGAGACAAAAAATCCAAGAAAAAAATCCATAGAATATTACAAATTCTGTGCAATATTTTTCTTATACACCATTCTAAGAGCGAGTTTATGCTTATAACACTCTAAAATCTCTTAATATGCCTCCACAATCCAATTGCTGCCCTTTTCGCCTACTCACGCTTTACTTCGCAGTACGAAGGGGGTCCAATATTATTTAGCTGCGATTATGATGGGACCCTTTGTGTCTTCTAAAATATTACCAGGTGTTAGCTATAACATAAGATTGACTTGGCATTGAATTTTCCATACTAAATCATCACAGCACCCTTATATATTTCTGTACCCACATTCGCCGTCATGTGTATGCATTTAATTGTATATTCATCATCAATTTTGTTCAGGTGGTCATCATAACATACCTGTATACATATGTATGTATGTCTGTCTATACATGTACTTTCTTACGATATACGTCAATCGTTCATGTATATATTTATTTTTGTTTTTGTTGCTTGTAGTCGTTGTTGTTGTTATTGCTAGTCCTTAGCTGCCAATCGCAAAATTCTTCGATTTCCCATTAGGTTTTGGGCAAAAACAAGGCAACTATTAATGACAGCCCATGACCCAAGTGTGGGCGAGGAATGCTTAATTGACTCTAAGTGCACAGAGTTGCTATAGGTGACCTAGCATATTTCTGTGCATGCAATCATATTTATTTATATTTTTGTGTATGAAGGAAAAAAGGCAACAACAACAACAGGAAAGCAAACAAGAAAATAATTTAAGCTATGGCATATTTGAATAAGAAATTCCTGAAAGGGACTACATACATATGAACAGTACATAGTACAATTTTTTATTATATATGTTAGTAAAATATGATAATATTTATAAATTATGTACCTGCCATGGAAGATGTTGTAGGGAAAAATATATTTTCATATTAGGCGTTGTAATAAATTCTTCTTGGTTCTCGAAGTAGCAGAACTTATATTTGAAGCAAAAACTGTAAACTCTGGAATGTTGAAGCGCCGAAACAAACTTCGATTTATTCTTTGGCAATATTATGGTCAAATTCCTTTTGATCCCCAATGCGAATACGATTTTGTCAAAATAATTATGCTATCTAAAAAAACAAATATTCAATCTATTTGTAATCACATATCGTAACACTCACTGTCTTTGAAGTCTAACTCAATTTTAAGTTTTCAACATAATCTCATCCGATTTAAAGAAATTTCCATACGTACACACACACATATAATACTCCTTAGTTTTATTTTTTTACGTTATTTTCTTTCTTCCGACATCAAAATCAAATGCCAATCACTTTCATATTAAGATTTTTATGACTTTTCTATCGGGGCATTAGCATCAATTAAAATCCATCAACAAATTGTTTTAAATATTTGTTCAATAAACCAAAAACAAACAAATTTCATTTTCCTTCTATGAAATTTTACTAAATTTATTTTAATACCAACACACGAACAGACAACAAAGCACTAACACACGTACCATACGCACACACAAACACACACAGGATCATATAACTAATCCGAAGTAAAAATCTTTACCTTAAGTTGCTGACACATCACCTGCTGACTTCTTTCCCAAAGGGGCGAATAAGAACTTCTTGTGTTTTGCTTCGGTGTCTATGTGTATATACGTGTGTGTGTGAATGTGTTTTATATTTTCCTTTTATATATGTATGTATTTCTCTTCAACTTAAATAACTTGCAGATATTTATGCAAAACAACTACAAGAAAACACTGAGGCAAACAAAAAAGGTGGGAGACACAGAATGCAAAACGAAAAAGAAGGCAATGCTAAAATAAACAAATCTTTTGAATTTAATATAACTCGAAAGTCTTGTGTACACAATTTCTTTGTCATCTTTGTTTTGTTTTAGCTTGTCTTCTCCGTGGTCGTCGTCTTCTTCTTCTTCTTCTGCATCATCATCTTCATTTTGGTCCCTGTCTACATTTCCTTCTTGGGTTTAACTTGATGTTGTTTAACCCATCATTTACAACCTTTTTTCCTTGCGGATTTTTCCGTTTTTACCCTCGTGGCTGGCACACACACAAAACTAAACAGAAACTTTATCGTAATCTGTGGCCCAAGCCGGGTAACAACCACAAGCAGCATCAACTACGACAACAGCAGCAACAACAACAACTACTGCACTTCCCACTAAGGCAAAGTTTATGTTATTTGGTCAACAAAATAACAACACAATAATACAATGACAACGGCAGTAACAACTGAATGAAAAATAAAAAGAAAACGAAAAGAAAAATAGAAATAGAAAACATCCATCGCCGTTGTAGTTCGACTACAGTGACTTGGATAAAGGACATGCCAGGGGAGAATTCAAATCAATATAATTCAAGAGAATAATTAAATGCATTATTAAAAATACATAAAAGAAAAACGAAAAATGATATTCTCACGCCGTTCACATATGGTGACAAGAAATTTATTTTTTTATGGACAAAGACATGATTTGTTATTTTTAATTTTTTTAATTGGTTTATTTGAGTTGATTTTATAGCCACATTGAAGTGGTTGTAAACCTATTATATACTCAAATTGTATGACGACCTAGTTTTTGAAAAACAAACCTCCTTGGTTATGTCCAACAGGTCAATAAAAATGTCCACTGTACTGACATACAGATTAACTACATTGTATATCTATTTGAGTGGAGCAACTTTTGTTATGGTAAAAAATAAGGACTACAAAATTTGCATATTTTGAAATAATATAGCCCATGGCATACCGAAAATATAGATTAGCTCTCCTATGTTTTGATCTGATTGCTAAATTTATCCGTACCTCATATGAATGTGTATTTTAATTTATATTCCTAGAAATAATTTTCATTACCCAGAACTCCCTTAGCTTCACTGTATTACGAAAATCTACATATATTCATATTGTGGCCTAGCCACCTTCCACCCACACTCGACACAAAGTTCACAGTCAAAAACTACTAAAATGACATAACTTAAACAAACCCCTACAACAACAAAAAAAAAAACAAAAATAAAAACCAACAAAAACATCATGGATCTTATAAAATCATGCGTTCGGGATGGCTATGGATAAGTGTCAGTCAGTCAGTCAGACGTAACGGTTACACGGGTACACCCGAAGCCACAACAGATAGAGGTTGGTTTGCATTAAAACTTATAAGGAAAACGAACGAACAAAATAAACTATGGGCAGCATGACCAAGAAACCCGAAAACAACAGAGAAATGTTAATGTTCTTGTTGTTGTTGTAGATTGCATTGCCTCTCCTCAAAAGATGTCAGTTAAAAACAGTTGGAAACTTTATGGCTATGACCAAAAACAAAAGTCGAATGAAACTCACCAAACTGAGAATGTACGGTTTAGATAGATACTCGAAAAAAACTATTGGGATTTAATAATAAAAATAAGTATTTCAGGATAGTTAGGCCATGATGAGCTCCTTCTTCTAGGGAGCTCAATAATAATAATAATTATGCGACATTGCGCCCAAGGACCCCAAGTTGTTGTTTAGAATATTAACTATAATTTATCATATTTTAACTATTGTTTTAATACTAATATAAAATTCGAAATCTTCTTAATATTTAATTTTAATATTTTGTCGTAATTCTTACTGAAATTGTTTTCCTTATTATCCTTATTTATGTTACAGGTTTTGGCTTCGTTACATTTCAAAGTGAAGATGTAGTAGATAAAGTTTGTGAAATCCATTTCCATGAGATAAATAATAAAATGGTAAGTATACAGTCATATTTCCGGTAGCTTTAAACTTCAATTCCTACTTCCAAGTGACCATGGAATATAAAAATATTTATATGTTCGTCTTTTTCTTAATTTCCAGGTCGAATGCAAGAAGGCCCAACCCAAAGAAGTTATGTTACCGGCAAATTTGGCTAAAACTCGTGCTGCTGGCCGTTCAGCTTACGGTGAGTTGGTAGTTTGGAGCAATAATGCTAACACATCTGCTGGTGGTGTTGGTGTTGCCGGTGGCATCGGTGTCGGCAATGGTCTGACCCTGGCCACCGCCACTGCTGCGGCCAATGCCACACATCCGCATGCCCATCAGCATCATCATCACCACCATCATCAACATCATGCACATGCCCACACACATCCGGGAGTATTTGGTAGCACCGCAACGACTGGGCCCACAACATCGGCATCCCTACGCTATACACCGTATCCATTGCCCACACATTTTTCAGCAGCAGCTGCTGCGGCGGCTGCCGCTGCTGCTGCTAAACAAGTTCAACAACAACAACAGCAACAACAAAACTTGGCTAATGCAGTAGCAGCAGCTGCGGCAGCACAATCGCATACATTTCTACCATTCGGGGCAGCAGCTGCCGCAGCGGCAGCATCAGCACCTAGCGCTGCATCTGCCGTCAATGGTCCCTCATTGCTGCAATATGCAGCTGCTGCCGCGGCCCAAAATCAGCAACCATCGGCAGTTATTGTCATACCGCAACAGGTTAATCACGACAACAGTCTGGCCAGGGCTGCAACACGTTCGGCCGGTCCCAATCCCCTAAGGCCAGCCGCAACGGCCACATTGTCCTATCCATTGACTGATTTGCTATCAGTACCGGGTCTTGATATGTCCGGAGCTACTCTATATCAATTGCCGGGTGCTAATACTCTCGGAATCTGACCAGCTTCAACGTTTCTAACACATTTGACACGTCCATAAATTAGAGCTAATTAAGATTTGCAACAAATATTCCGCCAAGGACAATTGAAATTATTTTTCACACCTTGACAACAAAAACAAAAAAGAGAAACCAACCAAAAACACACATATCTAGGTTAAATTTTATTATTCTAACTAAATTCATAACAATGTAATTTGTAAACGAATATGTCTACAGTTTTTTTAGGTTTAGATGCAACAAAAAATGTTATTAACTCCTCATTATATTAATTAATTAATTTAATTAAAACGTAAATTATTAACAACGAAAACAAAAACGATGATAATAATATTTATGCCAAAAGAAACCCACTTGAAAATTTGAAAATCAAATTCACATAGCTTAAAGAAAAACAATTTAACATAGTTTTAATACTGAAAGGTCCTTGTGTGTATTCCATTAAATAGCTAAACAAATACAATCACAAATCAAATGTGCTCAAATACATATTTAGGTAATCGTATTTGTAGGCAAAGGACCTTTGTTTTTTTTATATGTAAAATTCCAATATTTTGTAATTGATACACATATACCGATGTAATGATGTAATCAAAGTCGCTAAATGGACTTTATTAGCTTTTAAATAACATAACACGTATTTACATACATACATATTAACGTACATAATCGTATTATCTAACTATATAGAAATAATCGTCAATTGATTTATGAATATCAATCAATTAAAGCCATGATAAGAAGTGATATTTTATGGAAATGAAAAACGATATAATGCAATGCGCAGAGTGCTGGGCCAAAGAGGTCTATAAATCAATTTTCAAGTTAAATTTGTATTGTAAAGTAAAAGCCTATAACATGTTTAAAATATAGAATATGATTTTTTATAGGAACCCAGCATAGGACTTCTATTGAAAAGCTAATCTTCAGTTAAAAAATTGTATGATATCTTTTTATAAAATCGTATATATATAAAAACCCTCATTGTTGTTTATATAGGTGTATCTTAAGAAATATATCATATTTTTTTCAAATTAACAGGTCTTCAATATACTGTAGATTTTAACTAGGTATAATATCTTGAAAATGGATCTCTTTTATATAGTGTAATTTTATACACTTGGTGTTATTTTCTTTTATATGCAGTATAAATCTTTCTTAAAGGTCTCTCTATTTCTTAATGATCACATTTGAAGCCATTCAATTTGTGTGAGATTTCCTAACGATTATTATACTGCAGAATATCTCTTCCAGGTTATATATTTATGGAAAATCTCATTAATGTCTTCTATCTATAGGGAACGACATCCAGAATGTGTCCAATGTATAAGGACCTATCCTCCTCTCTCTCTCCAGAATACCTCTGTACAAAATCTTAAAGTTTTCTTTATATAAAATACCACTTGAAGAACCTGAACAAGACCCCTTTTAAAGTTTGCCTATATGCAGAAGACCTTTGAATGTTTTATATTTACTAACAGCACCTAAAAAGTATTTTATGTAAAGAATGTTTTTTTACCCTTTTCTAATTCTTAAGAAATAATTGTAGCCATTGAGGACATTCCACATTTAGAAGATTTTTTTTATATTCCCACATCTCCCCAAGATTTCTTTTTCTTTTTTCAAAATACCACTTAGCAGTCGAGGAATATAAGATTTATTATTTTTTTTATAAAATATCACTTCTTACAACAACAAAAGTAAATAATCTTAGCTAACTTATATATTTCATAATTGTCAAATGATAAATACTTAAATACATATCTAGCAATTAAGATTGTCCAGTAATCAGCAATTAAATTAAAAAAAAAAAACAAGAACATTTGTAAAAAAAGAAATTATAAATACTCCATAGGAGACTTTTAGCTATGATCCAATTACTGGATTGACATTTGGAAATATTTAGATTTCTGCTAGGCTTTAATTAAAACAAATAATTATCATTCCTTAATATCTGAAGAAAATCGAAACAAAATTTACATTTCTTTAGATGCTAAAAAGAACTACCGAAGAACATTAGAGAATCTATGTAAGTAGTATGAGGAAATTTACAAAACAAAACAAAAACAAATTTTTTTCTTCCCATTTTTTAACTTCTTCTTTAACAAAATGGTAGACACTAAGAAAGTAGTTGAATTTGTAAAAAGACAACTGCAAACAAAGATATCTAAACTAAATTATGAGCAGAAATTGTGTGGTACAAGAAGTAGTTCTAAAAACAAGTTTTTTTTCTTTTCTGCTGATTTCTTTCTTTAGAATGTTCACCAATGTTTTTTTATTTTGGTTTCTTTCTTTGTTACTACTTCATATACGTTTTCCACTGTCAAATGTATTTTGTGAAAAGAATACAAGACTAAGATGGTTTGTTTATTTAGATTGTTGAGTAATTTCTATTAAGGAAATGACAAACGAGGCAAATGAAGAAAAATAACAAGGAGCGATTAAAACGAAAGGAGTGTCGGCATTAGGCGATCTCAAAAATATACACGAATTGAGAAAAGTATACCCTTAACAAAATTGAATTCTTATGACATTTGGGCTAAATTGACGCTCCAAATGTCAAAGAATGAATGAATTTAAAGGATCTTGTTATAAACGATTTTTCTCTGAAGTTTTTTTCTTCATAGTAAAAAGTCAGAACACGAATAAAACCCCAATATTTGTACCCATTTTCAATTGAATTAATTTCGATTAAAATTAACACTGTCCCACAAAGCTATTCTGCTCGGATCGACAAAATGTAGCGTGAATGTAAATAGCCCTACCGAACTGCCTACAAATTAATTGTTGCAGTAGAAAAAAGCCAAAATAGAACATCATAAAAAAACAAACAGTTTAACTTTTTTGCTACAACAACTTTAATTAACAATTAATAAATAGAAAAGGAAACAACATCAACAACAAAGAAGACTTTTGCACAGAGAGAAAGATGAACTAATTAAAAACAGCAACAACAATGATACGATGATGATGCTGATGATTACAACAAGAACAAAGTCCACCATATATACAATTTTTATATAAAGCTGACTGACAACAACAACAAAAACACTGGAACTACAAAGGATGTTCTCATTAACAAAAACAAAATAGAGGATAGTTTTTATTCGCCCACCGCCAATGGAATTTTAATCAACCTTTCGACAGCGCATCACCACAAGCAAAAAAAACGGGAATTGATTCCGGTGCTATGTTGTTCTTTTTTGTTTTTGTAATTTTATTTTGTGTTTTCAATTTCCTCGAAACCTATTTGATATTTAAATAGATTACGTTTTTCCACGTTTTTCCATCATTTAAATAAAATGTATATCATTTTTTCAAATTTTTTTAATTTGGTTTTTAGTTGTAGTTTTTTGCCCTAGCTAACTTATATATTGACAAATATTTATTTATTTTATGGATATATATGTGTATGTGTGTATTTTTATTTTCTCTACATTTACAACTCAATTAAACCCAATATTTAACAAATATTTATTTTTTTATATATGGAGTGTGTCGAAAAATTGTGGATGCCAAAATAAAATTTGTTGTAATAAACTCCTTCTTCTCGAGGTATTCTGTATTACGACACAAATCCGTTATATTATAGAATTTTTCCTGAACGTCCGCTATTCTTAAAATGATAATTTTCTGTTACCTTTGAAAATCACTCTATATTCAAAAGTCCTTCTGAAAATCTTTTATATAGAATCCCTTGAAGATATCGTATACGGAAGGAATACATTTGCAATGTCTTCAGATGATATATTTGAATACTTCTAAATACCTTCTACATAAGGAAGATTTTGATGCATTGACGCATTCTATCCATAGAAATCTTTGATGAGGGTTCTTCAATTCCAGAACACCCTTTAAAAGTCTTCTAATCTTAGAATATATTTTCGAATTCTCTTCTACACACAGAAGTTCTTTTGATTTTGACCTTTATATAGAAGGACGTCAAATCTTAACAGACCTTCGGGAGGTCACCTTCTGAAGATATGAGAAATTCCTTTCCTTTCGACTGTTATTTCAATTCTAATTTTAATGTCAAATATTCTTCTTAAGAGCTGCATAAACTAATCTGACTTAGCCTCTTCTATAAACAGAAGACCTTCTAGACGTATTCTACACACAAATGACCTTCTGGAAGATTTTCATACATAAATATCTTCTACACCTTATGTGAACGACCTTCTGGAAGGCTATTATTAATAAAATTAAAACACAAGTTTGCCATACACGAATTCTTATTAGAGGTCTCCTACAAGTAGACCACAGATCTTCTCCACACAGAATTTCGTCTAGAAAATGTCCATTAAAAATTAACTAAACTGAAGATATTCAATATAAATTGGCAAATAATTTAATTTTCGACACCCTTTATTTAAAAAAAAAAACTAGTTTTAGAGAGCAAAGATTTGAATGCGACATTTTTCACTAGGAAACTTGCCAATTTCAATTCTTTGGATTTTAGATAATAAACAAAAATCATTTTTGTCATTTATCAAATATTTATTAACTAGAATTAAGTGTGTATTAGTTTTTAGAAAGAAAAACAACAACTGGTTTCAATTTGAATACAAAAATACCGCAAACAATTTTAGTCAATGAAACCAACAATTCTAGTTTACTTCGACTCTAATGTAGTGAAAAAACAAACAACAACAAATCGAACGAATATAATGAACAACTAATTGTTAATCTAGACAAACTTATATAATCAAGCAGAACTCTATTCAATAACTTTTAGCTAACATATTTATCTTTAAAACCAGACAAATTAGTTCTAAAACCATATATATTTATAGATAATTACATACGTACAAGTCGAGTACATACATACATATTTATCATAATTAGCAAATAAGTCGTCAACGTCAACATATTTATCACCTAATTGCCACTTGAATACTTTGTAATGACTCCGTAACTACTTGAAACTACTTGTAAACGTAACGTAAACATACTGTAAACGTAACTCTGTCTGTGTCTATGTCTGTGTGTGTGTGTGCGTACTATGTAGAGGAACATCAAGCCAAAAAATGAGAGAGATGACGATGATGATATTCCAACGATGGCAACAGCAAAATGTATTTTTTTCTAAAAACGTTATTTTTTTTCTAGTGAACAATCATTTACAATTTTCCTAGTTGAAAATTTAGTTTTACAAACAAAAACAACATTTATCATCACTCAGTGTTTAGAAGAAGATACAACAAATAATAATTTTAGATCTTTTTTCCAATATTTATTTAAACACAATATTTAATCTTCTCTTACTTGAAATAGTTAACATATTTATTATTCATTCAAAAAAATATTTATCTCAAAATTGATTTGAAAAAAACTGAATTTTATTTTTGTTAAGGCATTGTTATTAATTACGTTTTTGTCTTCTTTCTTTTTCTTTTTCCCCACTTTCTCGATTTTCATATGTGGCTTCTTGGTTGTATTTCTTGTGGCCATAAATGATTGAATTCCTGCAGACAATATTATGTGGGGCCTGGGGACATTACCTGAAGGTAAGTTGCAAATAAAATTACTATTTAATAAGGAATGTGGGAAAAAATGTTTTTTGTATGATTTTGAATAAATTCTGGTTGGTTGCATTTTGCCAGAGCTGAAAATCTCTTAAATCAAAAATTGTCACCCGAATCAATGATGTGATTCATTGATCAATGGAATGAATTAGTCATACTGAAAAGTTAAATATCATGTAAATGAAAACATCTGTGCGGAGGAACAATTCGGTTTTTATAAAACCCGTATGGTAATTCTTAAACAATATAATCTCTGTATGGTGTAGAAATACACGACAATTTCTTTCGAAATTTCCTCCCCGAACTTTTTTTGTTGACCGTTTCGTTGACCGACATTTTTGAACGATTATTAAATTGGACTGGATCAATCAGACTTTGGGCAAACAAATTCTACAACTCAGAATTCACCGTCCTACGCTGCTCAAGCTTGGATTTGGCTCAATCTCCCTTAAAGCAAATTTTCACAGTGTTATAGGATAATATTAGGTTGGGGAAAAATAAAAATAAATAAATTAACATGCTTCGGAATGGGCCAAATATGCGCCGATTTGTTTGTATGATTTATTGCCATTTTGAAAGCATTATGAAATGCCTCTCTCATGGAAGTCCTATCATTATCGCTTGGTGTCAGGTCCGGGCTGTATGGCGGATGCAATAAAACTTCCCAACCAAGCTCGCGAAGTTTCTGGCGAGTCACTGTAGATGTGTGTGGCCTAGCGTTGTTCTGGTGTAACACGACACCATTCCTGTTGGCCAATTCTGGCCGTTCCAGGTCAATTGCTATCTTCAAACGGTTCAGTTGTTGAAAGTAGAGTTTCAGTTGTTGGCAGTAGCGTTTGTTCATGTGGAAGCAACTTATAATATATAATCCCCTTCCAGAGCCACCAAATGCATAGAGGTTCCCAGCCCGTTAGTCCTGGTTTGGCCACCTTTTGAGGAACTTGACAGCTCTTTGACCACGATCGTTTTCTCACAGGGTTATCGTTTTTGATCCATTTCTCATCTCTAGTCACCATCCGTTTAAGAAATGGGTCTATCTCATTCCATTTGGCCAATGCTTCACAGATGGCACCCAAACATCGAGCTTAATTTTGAATCCAGCTTTATGTAAATGTTTTAAACAGTTTTTGGGTAGATTTTTAGCTCCTGGGTGATGTTACGGCTGCAAAAATGCCGGTCAACATCGAACATTTCTCCGATTTCTTTTTCCCCATTATATAGTTTTTAACTTAGAAATCTGAAATACAAGCAAGAGTTTTAATCGTATATTATCACACTTTCAGGCTTTCCAGCGGCTGCTTATGCTGCCTATGCTGCTGGTCGTGGATATTCGGGTTACCCCAGCTTTGGTTTGCCCTATCCAACTGGTAAGTCATCCAAATCATTTGTCTTTGTTAAAATTATTTGATTATGTTACGTCTTATGCTCCTCCTCTAACTTTTCAATATAAATAAAAGACTTTGACTAAAAATAAAAATCAAAAATATACATATTTGCAATTAAGAATGAACCAATGCAAAAAGTAACCAAAAAACAATCAATGAAATGAATATTGGCCCATTGTCTTCTTTATGTTCTTTTGTGCGAAATGAAAACAAAGAAAAAGTTTTGCTTTTTGTTTTGTTATTTGTTTGAATTATGTTTTTATTTTTTGTTTGTTTGTTTCTTAACAATTGCTTGATGCACGCTTCAAAACAACTACTACCAAATAATAATGAAACTGAACAAAAGTCATAAACCAAATATTGTTATTTTTGTGATTTCTATTTATTTCCCTTTTGTATGTTTTTTATTTTTAATATTAACCCTCTAAGAAAATAACGAACATTTGTGTTTATAAACTAAATTGATGTAATTAACCCATGTATGTATGTTTTCGGTTTGCACGGGACTACACTTGTAATTTGTTCAGAAGGATGTCATGTATGCCATATGATTTGTCATGTGTGTATGTGTGTTTGTAACTAATACTTTTTATCATTTAAGTGCAAATACATACAAATCGTTGTTATTAAGATTTATTATTTCATTTTTTTATTTATTTCTAAAATTCCTTGGTTGGCTTTTCATTGCCGCTTCCGCCATCATCATCGTACACAGCCGGTGTTATGAGTGTAGTCCCGGAAAATCGTATTTTGATTGGTGATTATATGATGGCTCCACCCACATCATCAGCTTAAAAACTTTCCAGTTTTATTTATTATGTTATGTTATATATCATCATAATGTTATTCTTATTTTAATTTTTAAGTTTTGTTTTATTTGCATAAGTCTTTTGCTTATTTAATTTTAATAATATTATTTTTTTATGTTCAATTCAAGAATAAATAAAAATTAATTGGATCTAGAAATCGACCTGTTAAGTAATAATTATATTTGATGTAAATTAAATTGGAATTTCCTCCGATGATATAAAAGTTAAATTGGTTGGAGAAAAATTGGTTTAAATAAAAAAGTTCTTATTTTTCGATTATTCTTGATAGATCGGTTTTTTAGAAAATATATAAAAAATACATATTTTTATTTGGTTCATTATAAAAATTTTTGTTGTAATTTTTTATGTTACACTACCAAAGACATGTAAATCAAAACAAAGAATATTATTGCTTAAATGAAATACGTATTAAATTCGAAACTGTAAAAAAAAAACATACATACGTATACGTATATTACATTTTTTTATTATTACTACTACGATATATTTAAAATTGCTTTAATTTTTATATAATACAACAATTGTTTATTTTTATTAATATAATTAAATAAAATATTTTTTTAAACAATTTCGAAACCTTTCAAATGTTCGTTATTTTTTCTCATAATTCTTTGTTTATATACAATTTTGACAATGTATTTTCCTAGAACACTCCCTAAAACCAAAACATATCCTCTCTATTGTGTTGTTTTTTTTTCGCCAAACTCAAATTCAACTGAACCAACAACAAACTAATAATTTTGTAGGCTTAACTATTTGTGGCATCGGTAGAAGTACGTTTGGTACGTGTAGTACGAATGCAGGCAGGCGGCCCGGTACTGGCGGCGGCGGTGGCGGCACAGCCGGTACCCAGCCAACAACAGCAGGATTTCCACATCAGGCACTGACCCTGCCTCTAGCCACCGCTTTGACACGCACGGCCGCTATTAAATCGCAATTCCTGGGCATCAACAACTTTTAATAGCTATTCGCAACAAATCAGCACGATCACGGACAGATATATTTTGTAGACGCCACTACAACCACAGTTACTACTTTTTGTACTTGTAACCGTGATCAACCGTACAGTGTGCCGTACGGCTGATAATCGAAGAAAGTGGGGCGTTCAAGCCAAGCCAAGAAACCCCCCAAAAACAAAAGCGGAACAAATATTTCAAGTCAACTCAAAATAGTTTAGTTTAGCTTAGCGTTTGAAAAGCGTTTAATATTTTAGTGTAAACGTAGCCGATTTAGAAGTAGCCGTAGTGAACAAAATATCTATTACAAAATAGCAGATGTTCAATATATAAACAAAATAACTATATATCTACATTTATTTTTTCGTTCGTTCTTCTTCTACTCTACGTATATCTTTCTCTCTCACACGCAAAAGTAGTGGCAGTTCAATTAGTAGTCGTAACTCTTGATATACAGTCTTGCATAAATATGTAGCTTAGATTAGTAATTTGAATATTTATATAAAATCAAAACCAAGAACAATAAAAATAACAATATCGATAATCAAATTTGTAGTGGTTGCCATAGAGCGTCTTATTAATCGTCCGAATATATATCGATGGGCGTATTCGTTTTATTAACGCTCCGGGCAATTCATTTCAAGCTATTCAATTTGTATGGCAATTTCATTTGAATACTACTTAGCATTCGTAACATAAATATTCGATTTAATGAAATTGAATTGTCGAATTGTAGTTGTATGGGCCACATCATACAACAATGATAACACCAATCACAATAGTGGCAACAACAACAGCAACAACCACAAGCAGAAGAACAAGAATAAGAATGGAGATCAACAAGAACACTTGATGCCATTAATTAATAATGGCAAATGTGAACGAATGTATTGAAATGTCGATACGAAATCTGGTACTTGTTCTAACCCAAACATATGTACGTACATCTCGTACATATGTATATGACTAATGCCACATAAATGCCCTTTAATATAATCGAATATGGCTTGAATAGTAGCAATAGCAATATCGTATATCCAATAATTCCACATACATACAAACATCTCTCCCTTGTGCTCTCTCGTTCAGATATCCCTCTCCGTTATGTCGTAATTAGTGGGTACATCTGTCTGTCGTTTATAGTTGTACGAGGTCCTTGAATATTTATTCAAATGTTATAGCCAAAAACACAAGGACTTGTTACATATCATTATCTAGTCTAGAGTTGACAACGAGAGAGAGTGGATATTACAAAACATATATCTCGTATAATCGTAAAAAAACAATAACAGTTATTAGAAAATAATATCTAGAAATTTAGCAATGCAAATATTTAGCATTCGTACTAAACGTTCGTTTATATATATTTGTTTTTTTTAATATTTTACGTATATTATTTCTTTATTTCATAATTATTAGATTTTGTTACATTGCTCTATACTTGCCACACATTTTTTCAAAATCTTGTTTTTATTTTATTTATTTTTTTTTTGGAATTGTAATGAAATATGTGCTATTTTTTCTGAAGTGAGGTACATATTTGAAATTTTTAAAAACAACTAAAATCACAATATATTTTTTTGAGTGTATCGTTTCATACACATCACTCAGCTTCAAATCTTATTAAAAATATATAAATGATATATCATTGATATTAATTTCGACATAATAAAAAAATCTACCAGTGTGACTTAAGTGTTGTCTTCTAGGATGTGTGAGGAAAGGCTTGACAATATCTAATTATGTATAGACAAAATTATCCGACTTAATCCAAATGAAATATTCACAATTTTTCGAGCCTCCTTAAGAAATGCACAATTATTTTACGCATACATTTAAAAATAGTTGGTATAATTCAGAACAACATTGGTATTACTCAGAACAGCAAAAATGCTGACCGTTATGGTGTTTCCTTCAATAGCTTATGATATTGTACAGGTATTTTTAATATTCAAATTAAAGGTGCCCAAAAGTAATTGATCAACTGTAGGTTGATTTATTTTACTGGTATCACTAACTCAATAATTCCATTTCATAATCTGCAGCCACCGGAGTATATCATATTAATCTGGATGACTTTAGGGATGATTGTCAATTTGGCAGGGAAGTTGTTGGTCGTCGTTGATCAGTCGTAGGCCAATATATTTTCAGGTATCACTAGCCCAGAAATGCGTTTCTAGAAATCAATTTAACAACTTGTACATACTTTTAAATATACTACATCCAATCTGCGATTCACTGAAATCGTTATAAATCCCAGAAAATTCCTTTTTTGATATGCACAGGCAATTTTAATTCAACACTGTCCCATTCCGCGACAAAGGTAACAAAGGACAGCACTCATTTCTAATCGTTGATTGCCATGGCTTTTGTTTTATTCATTTCATTCGTCCTCTTTTTGATAAGTTCCCTCTTTGGAGGTTGATCATATTAGGAAATCTTAACATTCTCGTATTGTGTTTTCCCTTCTCCAAATTTTCGAAATTTTTATTTTTACACATCAATGTTTTTCTTTTAATTATTAAAATTCGTTCACAAGAGAGCAATGTTAGAAGCATCATTTTAATAATAACGTACACTATTTAGAAATATTTATTACAAATAGTATTCACGAAGTACACATATATTAGCAAGTAGTCAATTATATACTCTCAATTTTATAGCTATCATCATATATATACAAGTCCCATATTTAGCGCTAGCACAACAATAAATTTCTCTTGATCCCTTATTGAAATCACAAGTCATAAAATTATTTAAATAAAAAAAATAATATATTTATTATTTTTATTTTTAACATTTGAAAAAATTAGTATGTTTTTAGATTTTTTTCTATAAAATAAAAATATTATTTTTATTAAAAACTATTTTTTTTAATATTATTCTTAATTTCGTTTTTGCAAAATAGTCAGGCTGAATCCCAGTTTGTTGTTTTTATAAAAATATTATTTGTTATAAACTAAAAAAATATTTTAAATTTAATATTCTCAAATTCTGTTGGGCCATCAGGATATGGTTAAATGGACTTGAAGTTAGAAAAATATCTTAAAAATCGGTCCATTTTTAAATAATAATGAAGGAAATACATACATTGCTCACGCAAAATCGTAAATGCGACTTACAACATATTTATGTAGAACTTTTAGGCATGATATAGCCTTTAAAATTCTTGACTTTTTTATTTTGTTGAAAAATT